ATTTTGATTTTTTAACCCTGCACATCATTTTACAATCAAGCATCACCATTCTTCCCCTACAATAGTGTGCATTTTCAATATCTCACATCCCAAATGTGAGATTTCAGCAACTGGAGAAAAACAAGAGAATGGTAGATCTAAGGCTTTGCTCACAGAAGATCCAATTAATGCTTTTTGGGGTCAGTAAGACAATTCTTTTTAAAACTTCCAAAATGGGCTAGAATTCAAATAGAATACAGTTTATTTCATGCATTTCAAAAGGCTTTTGGCTTGAGTTGTATTTCCCAAGGAGCAGATCTCTAGGCACTGGGCAAACATATTCAGCAGTCCTTTGTAATGTGATTTGGCAAAAGTGTAAAAACTTAAAAAAAAAAAAAAATTACACTGAATAGCTCTTTCATTCCTGGCTGTGGCTTATGTGATATATGATATAAGAAGGTTAGAGAAAACATAGTAGAAATAGGGATGTAAAATCAGAATGCATATAATTATAGTTGAGGATTGTGAATAGAATAGCCTTTTTAATGGTCATTTTATGGAATAGAATGTATTCATTCTACCGATGTTCTGATAATAAAGGCATGAATACATTTTTTTAACCATAATTCCTTTCCCCTTTCCCAATATAGTTTCATTTTACTTCTGATAAATAGGCTAGCTGCTTGCAAATTGTGTCCAATATAATGTTGGGAATAATCTTCTACTGTACTGTTTTTAACTTTTGTTTAATTTACTGTTGGGCTTATGGAGAAAAAGAAACTATAGGTCGATGATAGGAGAAAGAAAAAATGGCATGTTGAAAGTTCCAGGTTCAGTACATAGCATAGCCTAGTGGGATAAGAAGATGTCTATAAGAGACCTGCTGGGAATATTACACTGATGATGGACTCCTGATGTCTTACCTGGTATCAAGATGGACTAGAGAAGGTGTTGCTCCAGACTTCAGTCTTTTGATGTCCTCTTCCTTTGTGATAAGAATAAAGTAGTTGACAACGTGCCCTATACCACCTTCCAGGAAATGCTCAATGTTTGCGTCTCATCACATACCCATTGTTAATTTCAACAGAGTCTCTTTTAGAATTCTATGATATATATTCCAACTGGCCTTATTTTCCATATAGAGTACCTGCTCTTCATTACTTTTCTCAGTTAATCACTGTTCTTCCAGCATGATTTTAATTTAAAATGGCCTATGAGCTTTATGAAGTTCCTATAGGTATTCTTAGAAAATGCAACTGGGGGGATTTCAGTCCAACTGGGACAGACAGGACCCATAGCATGTCTTTCTTGCTGGATCTAATGGGACAGGCAGATGTGATTTTATTCCTCTGGATAAAAGCTCACCTGCCCAGAAAAAAAGATATAACATGGGGGCTTTGAGAGGGAAAATTTTCATTGGTTTGCCTTTTGACAAATAGGTGTTATGTGACCAGCTACATGTTCAGTGGTGATCCTTTTTGGCATGTTCCAGAATACCAAAACTTTCTGCCACTGGTTTAACCATAGTAAATTGAATCAATCTAATATCACAAAATATGGTTTGATTCAATATGCCCTGGTTAAAAGATGGAAGCACTGAAGACTGAACCTTAGTGTTGTATCCATCAAATTTCTGTTCCAGAGATTTCATCCACCCACCTGTAATTTTTAAGAACACCTACAAATCTTACACTTTTAAGTATGATGTATTTACCATTGCGCTGGCTTCTAAAGCCACAGCAGGACAACTTGTTGCCAAGGAAATAAATGTTAACAAAGAACAAGCCTGATAGTGTGTTAATAACTGTTGCTGTTTTGAAGTGTGTAATAGTATACACCCTGTAGCTACAAAGTGTGCATTTTTAGGTTATAAATGTTGTTTCAGTGGTATCCATTTCACTTAGCTTAGACCCTTGGTGGCATTGATTTAGTTGTCCTTGTGTGGAATCAGGAGTTATTTATTTGTTTGTTTGTTTATCAAATTTATATGGCCACCCATCTCATAAGAAGTGACTCTGTACAGCAGAAAATATAAAAACAATAAACATGTCAAAAGTAATCAAATTAAAAAGTTAACAAAGCATAAAACACATAAGAGATTAGATCAGCGAGGAAGCCACCTCACGATTTTACTGGTCTCCTGAGACCCCCAGGCCAGATGACATAGCCAGGTCTTGAGGGACTTCCGGAAAATAAGTAGGAATGGAGATGATCTTACTTTGGGGGGTGGGGTGGGGGGAATGTTCCATAAGGCGGGCACCATGGCAGAGAATGCTTACCTCCTTGGGCCCACCAAGTGTAGTTCCCTGACTGACAGGACCCATAGCATGTCTTTCTTGCTGGATCTGATGGGACAGGCAGATATAATTGGGGAGAGGTGGTCCCCCAAATAACCTGGCCCCATGCCATGAAGGGCTTTAAAAGTCAAAAACAGCACCTTGAATTGGATCTGGAAGCAGACTGGCAACCAATGCAGCTCGCATTGAATCCTGAATTATTGATGGAGCCAATCTTATGATCTAGATCAGTGTTTTTCAAACTTGGCAACTTTAAGATGTGTGGACTTATCTAGAGCTGTGGTTCTTAAGCCAATTCACCCCTTTTTCTGGTCTGCAATAATGTAATGACCTCCACCCAACCCCTCCCCCTGACTCTATTGCTTTACTCAGATGTCTCAGCAATGGCAGTCCCACACCTGATCCTCAGCTCACAAACAAGCAACTACAAATTGCTCCATTACCCCTAAGATACGGCCAAATTATCCCCACTCTGAGCTAGAGCAATGTTTCTCAACCTAACGGCTAGAAGAAAAGTCTCACTGAAGGCAACCTAGAAATACTAAAATATGTTATTTCCCATATGTAGTATCTGAGAAAGATAAATGACATGAAAATACTGCATAGCAAAAAAGTTACAGAAAGCATCCTTGTGGTACTTGTGAACTTCTCAGGGCCATTGAAACAAAAGAGTACAAAGGGGTCATTCAGAAATAGGGCTTCCATGTCTGTTATGAATTAATGAGTGAATGCATGAGGAAAAAAAAGAGGTGAGTGCATAAGTTCTGAACATCTTCATGATTGTGCAATGTTTTTGAATTATTTATTGGTCAATAATAGTATTTCTTAACTCAAAACTAAGATGTAGTTTGTGAGGTATAATTGCTGAGATGGGTCCAGAAATACCTGAACTCTCTTGAAATCACTGGGACAAATTACATAGGACTTAATTTTAAATCCTGGATGCAGGATTTAAACGTATCTAGATGGGTAGGTATGTATAGATATTTATAAGTGCACATTTACATAAAATCATTGTCATACAAGTCATGGGGAAGTATGTTTGTGTGTGTTTTTTTATAGATTTATCAGAGATGTTGGCTAGTCTTCAAGAAAGCATCTAGCAAAGGGCCCAAAAGAATGGAAAAATTTTCAGATGAGCGTGCTGCATACTTCAGATGTTACCACAAGGTAAGAAGAGTCAAAGAGTTGGATAAGATGCTTCTTCCACAGTTTCTTGCTGGGTTGAACATCCTATGTAAATAACTTTCACAGTTAACTTGGATGTTTGTGCCAGTTCATCTAAAAACACACAATTTACTGACATTTAAAGAGAAATAATGAAAAATTCGGGGTTCCTCTGGTTTTATTAACATTTAATTTAGGGATGTCTGGGTGGGGGGAGGTAAAGGAAATCAAGATGGTAGCTGTGACCATAAGAGCAGAGCTACCACCTTGACTATTTTCATTCCTTACCCCTAGCTTAGTGTCATATTACTTATACCTATATTAAGGCATGTATGTTCAGTCTTTTCAGTTAAATGTGAAAGCCTCTTCAGCCCTTCCAGTTAAATGTGAATACAATCAATATAATGTAGGGGCTCCCCCCCCACAAAAAAGATGAAAATGATTTGGAGTTCAACGCAATATTCCATGCTTTGTCAAATGATAGATGTTATAATATTAACACTTTTGTTTGTAGTTTGTTATTAAGAGAATTTGTAACAACATATTTAGTAGTCCTGTTTCAGATGTTGGAGTGGTGATATAGTTAGGGTGGTGGTATGAATTTATTCTGGGCAGGGGATGATATTATGCCTAGTACATCAAGATACCTAAATCTGATCCTGTTTTTTTTGTCTTCATTATATATTTTTGTTTCATTCATTCATTCCATTTATAAGGCCACCCATATCACCATGGTGACTCTGGGTGACTGACAACAGTTACAAACACAATATAACAAAAAATGAATACATAAATACATAATTGGCAGCCAAAATAAAACAAGATAACAAGATAAAATAAGAAACATCCATCAACATAACCATATCATGGGCTCTTAAGTATGTTCCGACCCCCATGCCTGGGAACCCAGCTGTACAGAATATTACAGATAATTTCATTGGGTCTCTCTGTGTTTGGCATACTTTATTGTTCCTTTTACACACACAGAGCCATCTTCTTTAGTGCCCTCCAGATATGTTCTGGCTACAATTCCTATACTTTCCAGCCAAGGTACCTATTGGCCATGCTCAGTGAGAATTCTTGGACTTAGAGTCCAAACATGATCAGAAGCATTGAGGAATTCTACTGCACAGGTTAACTGGGTTTTGAGATTTTGGTGGCTTCATTCAAGATTGGATGAGACTTTGGCTTCAGATTGTTATTGTTGTTGTCTAGCTATTGTATGATTTTGAAAGCAGAGTTAGCATCCTCTTTTTTTTTTTTTTAACCTACCATACATCTAGGAGGAAATGGATCATGACTAGCATTTTTAACCAGCTGTATAAATCTCTGAGGTTCAGGAAAGGTATAAATAGGAATACAAGGCCCATTCTGGGAACATTTGAACAATTAGAAGTGTATTAATAGAACTGTTCAATACTTTCTGGAATATAATTGCTGGATACAGCCTGACTAAATAAATCTTCCTGACCCATATATCTCCATCTTTCTTTGAGCAAAAATTGTCATCTTCGGGAGCCACAGAAGCATGCCTTTTCAGTTGCTGTCCCTTTTTTCTGGTACAAATGTTCAAATGTCCCCTTTCTGCCTGACTTTCAGAAAGTCTCTAAAGCAAGGTTTCTTAACCTTGGCAACTTTAAGTTGTGTGGACTTCATCTCCCAGAATTCCACAGACAGCATGCTGTCTAGGTAGTTTTGAGAATTGGTCCATATATCTTAAAGTTGGCAAGCTTGAGAAACACTGAAGATTTGGTTGTTCCGTTTTGGGATAGGGTTGTTGTGACTATTCCTCTTCATAAGGAGCTTGTCTGATGGTTTTCAGTGTTTGGATTCCTGGTTTATATATGACGATTTATGAATTACAGTTTTGATTTTCATTGTACTCTTGACATTTATTTTGTTTATTTTTGTTATCTGTTTTTAACCCAAGTTATGGATTTGAGGACATGTACAACACCCAGTTTGATTGGACTGGCTTATAAGCATTGTAAATAAATAAGTGTGTGTGTGTGTATGTGTGTTTGTGTGTGTGTGTGTATGTGTGAGAGAGAGAGAGAGAGAGAGAGAGATGGAGGGAGGGAGGGAGGGAGGGAGTGTATGTGTCCCTATTATTTGAGAATCACGTCTTCAGTCTGGGAAAATATATGCGTAATCCGATGCAGCATTTATGATAACTATACTAGACCCTTTACTTATTTTTTAAGCTTTGGCAGTGCAGCTTAATATATTAGAAAAATAGGATTTAGGTGTGGCATTTAGGAGCCTTGGAGCAAAAAGATAAACTTCTGGTAGCTGATCCATTGTTATTCCGCTTGAGAAACATTTAAGAAATAAAAGTCATGTGGAAACTGCATTTGAATCTCCTTCAATCTCCTTAAATTTACCCCATCTGCATTTACGTGATGCATAATGTGTACAGTATCGATTATGAAAGCTCTGCGATTATGTGCCTTGCTTGAAATCAGTAGAATTAAAAACTTATGGATGTTTGAAGCCATGTCCAAAAGTCTTGTGGGGGCGGGGAGGAAAAAAGCCAAGGACTCATCAATTCCTCTCAACGTAACAAAATTCTGTGCTGCTGCACACAGATATTGACCCAGAGGTCTGGCCATTGTTAATTTACATCACATAATTAAATGTGCCATTTGATATGGAAAAACAGGGAGCAAATTATTTGAAACGCCTATGCTGGTTAGTCCAATTGCTTGTTACTCTGTACTATGAGAAACATTGCTGTGTATGTACTGAATATGTTGGTCTTTCTGTGTTGTGTTATGTGCCTGCATTCGTTTTGCTGAGGACTGTAATAAAGATACATTTTAATTCTGACCAGCAATTCCTTTATCTTCCTCATTTGTTTGTCTATAGAAATTGTGGGGTTCCACCTCTAGAGCAATAAAATGTCAGGTTGGCACAGAACATATGTCATTTGAAATAATACTGAGTAGACAAATGGTTGATGCAAATATTTCTTTCTCTTTCCCATTCTCCATAGTAATGCAAAATATAAGTGGTACATCCATAGCTCTCTGAATGAGGAGGGAATCAGAGCCTCAATATAGAATCAGAATCCGTTAAATATTCTTCTCTTCTCTCAAAAGGGGATTTTATTTCTTCCTATGCATAACTTCCCCCAGTAGATTTTGCCCTGCTCATAAGGTGTGGGGGGGGGGAGTTTCTGCAACTCAAGAGTTACTAGCCGCCAGCAAAACTGCTGCTATGATCACATCCTGAGGATAAATTTTATCAGAAAAAGTCTATTCAGGCTGTATGGGATATCTGAAGCAGAATAAGTAAGTTTTAATCTTAACTATATTCATCTACCTTTTTCTGGGCTCTTGATTTCAGTTGCCTGATGTTATTATTAAGTCTATTTGTATATTTTGTACGTTAGACTGGGAAGTACAGGGTAATCCCCAGTTTAAGAACAAGTTCTGTTCCCAAGGTCTGCCCTTAATTCGAAAGTATATGCAAGCTGGAACAGTATTATTGTATAATACTGTATAAGTACCGGTAGTACTTGCCTAACAACTGCAGCTGGGACTGGAATCTCGGTCGTTGAGTGAAGTGGTCATTAAGCAAGATGCCCACATGACTGCTTCGCTCAACGATGGCAATCTGGACACTCCTGGTTGCGGCCATTAAGCGATCTCCTGGGTTGTTAAGTGGATAGAGTGAAAGAGCTGCCTGCTGAAGGATTTCAGCTCGGCATGGAGCTGAAACCCTCCCAGCAGGCAGCTCTTTGAAAGCAAAAGGGCTGCCTGCAAGATGGTTTAATCTCTGTGTGGAGCTGAAATCCTCCCATCAGGCATCCCTTTCACTCTCAAATGTTCCTAAAGCCCACCGAAAGGTTTGCCTGCACGCCACTGACAGGGGAGGGGAAACCTTCCAGCAGTGGGCAGGTACGGAGCTCAAATCCTGAAGATGTTCAGGATATCTTCCTGAAGCTCAAATATTCAGGATTTGAGCTCCATTCTTGCACACCACTGTGTCCCCCTTCCCTGTTGGCTTCCAATGAGGAAGCTGGCAGAGAAGATTGCAAATGGTGATCACATGCTCATGGGGCCCTTGGCAACTGGTCGTAAGTGCAAGCTGGTTGCCAAGTGCCTGAAATGTGGCCACGTGACCATGGGGTGGGGTGGGGGGCGGCGTGATATTTTACAACAGATGAAAGTGCTTTACAGGCCATAAAGCACCCTTTCTGAGGCCGTCGTAACTTGGAACCATTGTTAAAAGCGCAGTCATTAAGCAAGAAGTACCTGCAGCATTGTGTAATGAACTCGAACCATTGTGTACTTAACTCGAATCATTGTGCGTTTAACTCAAATTTTGCTACAATAAGCTGCATTCTTAACTATGGGTCATCTGTAACCTGGGCGTTCTTAACCTGGGCATCCTTAACCTGTAAAAAAAAAAAAAAAAAACCCAGAAGGCCTTGGAGAACCACTTTTGTATTATGCCAAGAAAATGGCATGGTTATGTCATATATGTTACTAGGAATCGAGCTTACATTAAAAGTGACTTCATTTTCTTTCTTCCTTTTTTTTCCTTTTAGCTTGAAGTTTAGACTGGTTCTGAACATTTTTGTTAAGTCCAGGTGAATACGCATTTTCAATTACCATGAAAAACTCAACAATTTGGAATCTACTGCAGGGCAGTGGTGGGTGGGGAGAATTGCGGATGCTATCACTAAGAAGACCTAATTATATGATGTTTCTTATGTTTAGATTCAGAACTATAAAGCTTGAACAGCCGTACTGAGGTTATTGAAATTAATGGTGTGTTCCAATAAGCATCATAGATTGAAGTTTGTTTTAATTTTGCAGGGCCAGAACTGATAAGAGTTTCTTATCACTTTAATGATTTATTGCAGTTGGTCAGCTTAGCAGGACTTGCAAAGTATGCTTAGCTACTTTGGTGATGTCTTAGGCTAACCTGTAACTAACACTCATATTTATAGATTTGTACCCTTGGATGAACTTTTCCATTGCCAGGAAGGGCCTGTGAATTGAGGTTG